GAGAGAGAGAGAGAGAGAGAGAGAGAGAGAGAGAGAGAGAGAGAGAGAGAGAGAGAGAGAGAGAGAGAGAGAGAGAGAGAGAGAGAGAGAAATCAAAGGAAGAAAGAAGAAACCCATTTGAAAAAAATAATAATAAATACAGAAAATGAATTTAAAAAAGAACACTCCCCCCCCCCCCTTCGCGCCTCGGCCTACCGCTTGTCGCTCATTCCTCACCTCCAATCAATGAGGCTAGACATCCCTGCGCTCTCCTAATCTTCTTTCTTTTTTAGCCTTATGTGCAAGATGATTTGAGAGGATTTGGGAGAATTTCCTACAAGTATAAGAGTATTCAAGGATTTTAAGTAAAAAAAAAAAAAAAAAAAAAAAAAAATTCCGTACACATAAATAAATCTAAAAAGAACGGCACAAATCCTCCGTTTTAAGCAATTCATCAACATTGCAACTAAAATCATTAGGAAATAAAATCAGGACCTAATTCCATATATTGAAAAAAGTCAGAACACCTAAAAAAAGATAAACAAAAAAATAATAACAATAAAAAAATATAAAAAGCAAAACCCAACGCAAAGATCAAGACAACATACACACACAGACACACACACACACACACACACACACACACACACACACACACACACACACAAAACTAGGTTGACACGCCCGCCGCCCTCAAGCCCGGCGAAAAGTAGTACAAGCGAAGGGCGGAGGACGCCCAACGTGCTCCGTCCTTTCGCCTTTTTGCCGCCCGCCGCCCATACATCAGCGCCCACCCATTGGCCTCGGGAACTTCTGTTTTAAAGAGTCCCGTAATATGTACTTTATATACAATTGAAAGCGTCCCATTTAACAAGATCATTGGGGCAGTTTGATAAATTGGTCAAGGATGTAGGTATATGTATTACGTTCATATATACATATACATATAAGCGTACACACACACACACACACACACACAACGCACATACTTTCCAAGACCTCTTTCACTGCCCTCAACCACCCAGTCACAAATATCATAATACGGGGCGGTGCGCGGGCCATCTCTTTCTTTCACTTACCCCAACACGAACAGATGGGCGTGCGGTGTCCATCCGGTCAAGGAGGGAGGGCACGATGAAGGGAGATGAGGGAGAAAGGAGGGAAGAAGTGAGGAGGAGGAATGGAGAGGGAAGGAAGGAATGGAGGAGGGAAGGAAAGAGGAAGGAAGGAAGGAGGAATGGAGGAGGGAAGGAAAAGAGGAGGAAGGAAGGGAGGAGGGAAGAAAGAGAGGAAGGAAGGAAAGGAGAGATGAAACGGAGGGGAATGGAGAGGGGAGAGGGCAGCGCGCTATGAACCGGCTTACGTTCCGGCAATCGCAGGGGGGGGGGGGGGGGAGTGCAATTACCGGCCGGAAAATCGCTCGCAACCCCAGTGGCCCGATCGCCAATGGACTAGTCGCACACGAGCATCAAAGCCACGCCTGTGTTCGGATACATTTCCCCTCCCTTGCCCTCTCTTCCTTTTCTTTCCCTCCTTTCCCTTCTACCCCTCTTCCCTTTCCTTCTCCCTCTTCTCCTCTCCTCCCCCCTTTCCCCAAACCCTCATTTTCGACCATCGAAACGCACGGGAATATAAAACAATAAATCAATAAACCGGCAATACCTACAACGAAAATTTTAGAGTCCTTCACCCGAAAGCGTCGAGTGGCACCTGCTGAATCGCCGGTGTCAGCGTCCACCACCGACAGACCCCAGGCCCAGCACGACAGACCCAGGCCTATATACCCACCCACGCACCGACAGACCCAGGCCTATATACCCCACGCACCACACACACACCGAACATTTGGGACAGCAAAAAAGCAAAACGAATGTATAAATAAGCACATGGATGAAAATAAAAGGCATACAGTGGAAGAGGACTATCGCCAAACGTTGTAGACAAGGTTAAACTAGCACCGTTGCAAAATACAGTGCGAAGCCTTAGCAATAAAACCGTTAGAGGCGACATGACTGCGATTTGAAATGGTCATAACTAGGTGACATGGGGAGGGAGGGGAGGGGGAGGGAAGAGCGAGGATAGGGGAAATGGGGGAGTGGAGGACAGGGGGAGAGTAAGAGTAGGGGAATGGTGATATGGAGGGAGAGAACAGAGAGAAAGACAAACAGAACAGAGGAGAGAGAGAGAGAGAGAGAGAGAGAGAGAGAGAGAGAGAGAGAGAGAGAGAGAGAGAGAGAGAGAGAGAGAGAGAGAGAGAAGAGAGAGAGAGAGAGAGAGAGAGAGAGAGAGAGAGAGAGAGAGAGAGAGCGAGAGAGAGAGAAGAGCGAGAGAGCGAGCGAGAGAGAGAGCGAAGAGAGCTGAGAGCACGACAGAGAAAAGAAGAAAGAGCGGGAGAGCACGACAGAGAAAGAAAGAAGAAGAGCGAGAGCACGACAGAGAAAGAAAGAAAGAAAGAGGGAGAGCACGACAGAGAAGAAAGAAAGAAGAGCAAGAGCAGACAGAGAAAGAAGAGAAAAGAGCGAGAGCACGACAGAGAAAGAAAGAGCGAGAGCATGACAGAGAAAGAAAGAAAGAAAGAGCGAGAGCACGACAGAGAAAGAAAGAAAGAAAGAGCGAGAGCACGACAGAGCACGAGAGCGGGCGAGAGTTGGAGAGAGAGAGAGAAAAAAAAAAGATGGATAAAGAGGGAAAAAATCAGCCGTAGCCCCGCCGGCTGGGAGTTAGTGGCAGTACTTCCGTCGTAAAACACACACACTCGCTTCTACGACCGGTTTAATACAGCCAAACTACGGGAAGAGCTGCGTGGTCCGGACCCGCGCTCTTGCAGCCACGGAAACGGCGCGGCAATTATCAGTCAACTTGCTCGGTGTCCAGGTATTGTTGCGCGATTGCAAAGCTGGGAAGTTCAATGGCAGATCTATTTCTTTTTGGTCTACCCTCACCTTAGCCGACGTTAAATTCAAATTTCTAATACATGCCAATCTGCAGTAAGCAACCGGGAAAGATAAAAATAAAATAAAATAAAAATAAGAATACAAAAGTGAAACGAAGATAAAGAAAAAACTAAACCGAAAAAATACATTAAAAACGAAAAAAACACACGAAAAGTCGCCTTTTTTATCCTCACATTTCTCTTCGCCCATTATGGGTCACGAGGAGCAACAAAGGACGCCCAAAGAAGGCAAGCGACACCGTTGCTCGTGGCGGGTACTCAGGGCAACATACCCCCCCTTTACCCTTACCCACCATCCCCTAACCTCCCCCCCTTCCCCTTACCCACAAGCCCCTAACCTACCCTTCCCCTCCCTTCCCTTACCACCAAGCCCCTAACCTCCACCCCTTCCCCTTACCCACCAAGCCCTAACCCCTTTCCTCCCTCCTTACCTACGATGCCCCTCCCCTACCACCTGTCCTCCACCCCCATCCCCCTCCTCCCCCCTTCATAACCCTGACCTCGCACCCTCCGCTCGCCTCCCTTCCCTGCAGGATGCTCAACGAAAAGCTTCCCTTGCAACAAACCCTTCTGTTGAGGGGTTGAAGTGATGCTGATCTTGCTCCAACAGCCCTCATCTCCCAGCCTCTGATAAGGTATCAATTCAATGATACATCTTACATCTCTATAGCTATCGCCTCTCTACCTCTCCCTACCCTCTCTTCTTCTCTTTCTCTACCTCTCCCCTTCTTCCTTCGTCTCTTCCCTCCGTCTTTATCTCCTCCCCCTCCCTCTCACCCCTCTCCTCTTACCTTCTCTTCGCCCCCCCCCCCTCTCGAGGTCGACCTCTTGACCTCGTCTCCCGGAAGTAACGTTACTTCCTCGTCGCCGGCAATGTGTGTATATCTTAAGAGCTCTTTTGTCATCTCCTCAGCACGGTAATGTGACCCTTACGGACATGGGCGGAGCAGGTGAGGTGGGACATCAGAGGGAGGAGGGGGAGGGAGAGGAAGTAGGTTAGGATGATGGAGAAATGACACAAGGGAAAGGTGGGGAGGAGGGGGAGGTTGGGGAAGACAGGGAGAGGGGGGTGGAGGAGGGAGCCCAGCAAAGGTAGGGAGATACACGAGAGGACTAAAATACCGCCGAGACATTTCGCAACAAAAAGGAATGACAATACAAACAGCATGATCAACACCACAAAAAGTAAAAATAGATATACGATAGACTTCATCCCCAACACCCAGAAATATAGAGTACACGCATTCACCCCCCCTGTCACTAAAAAAGAAAAATAAAGGAAGAAACAGAAGAAAAAAATCACGCCAGAGCAAAAAGACCAAAGCATGACACGTCAGAGGAAGAGGACGGCACCCGAAGCCAAGCCTCCGGGGTGTCCTAAGGAGCGCTGTGCGGGCGAACAGCGGGCCGACAATGGCTCCTCGGAGCTTCTCTTTGTGCGGGTGACCGGCTGAGAGCGCTCTCTCTCTCTCTCTCTCTCTCTCTCTCTCTCTCTCTCTCTCTCTCTCTCTCTCTCTCTCTCTCTCTCTCTCTCTCTCTCTCTCTCTCTCTCTCTCTCTCTCTCTCTCTCTACTCCCCCCCCTTCTCTCTCCATTCAGAGGCTGCATCTACACTCACACCCTGGGCCCTGGACGTCCGCATTGTCCACATAACGTCAAAGACATTCACCAAAAAAGTATATCCATGTGTTTGCGCTCCAGTGTAGGATACAGAACGGAGCAGTCGTTAACTGATCTCTGCCGTAGCCTTACACACCAATAATCTACTGGAACGTAGCCTATCGACGTCGTAGCCTGACGACAGACTTAAAACACTACCACGAGGACGAAGTAAAAAGACCCTCCTTTTCGAAGCAGGTTCCATTCGGCTTTCATTGACCCGGAATCCGGCTGGGTGACCTCCCGGACCTCAGCCCGTACCAGGTCTCGAACCCGCCTCGCTTAGAAGCAACACAGGTCTCCCAGCCGTACGCGGTGCCACTGTACCATCGCGGCGGCACAACTCATACTTACCACACCATACAGTAAACATAAGCGCACCTCGGGAAAGAAATGTATAGTGTACTTACACTTGTTGTCGGCGGCAGCGTTGGGGGAAGACATCTTGACTCGGGGTTTGTCTGGAAGGACAGAAAAAACAATCGTTAAACACCTGTTTGGCACGAGCTGGAGTTCTGCTTCAGACATTCTTGGCACGGGAGGTGGACGAGAATACAAGAGAACGAGGCTAAATGAGAAAGGACAGAAGCGGACACACTCAAAGTTGAACAAAGAAAACCCAGAAAAATAATAATGTGGAGGGAGGGAAAGAGAGAGAGAAAGAGAGAGAGAGAGGAGAGAGAAGAGACGAGAGAGAGAGAGAGAGAGAGAGAGTGAGAGAGAGAGAGAAGAGAGAGAGAGAGAGAGAGAGAGAGAGATAAAAGGAAAAATGCCAAGAGTACCTCTCGTAGCCCCCCCCCCTTCCCTTCCAGACATCTTTCCCTCGATATCTCGATATTCACAATATCCTGAAAGGAAGTCCGTTGTCCGTTGTCTGTCCACCTTTTCCTTTTTGAAGAGTACCACACGAACAATGTAAAAGCATCAAAATATTGATAAAATGAAGAAAAAATCTTTTATGAATATGAAGGGTTTCCCCTCCTCATTGTACAAAAGAGAGAAAGGTAATATGTCATTAGCGAAAGCACGTCTAGGAACGAAAGGGGAAAAACGAGAAAAAAAAACAGGACAAGAGGCTGCAATAACGAGATGCACACATTGCACTCCACGTCTATCATTTGGCCACAATTAAACACTCCCGTTTTCGTTACAGCCCGGCAATTCCGCAGGGCAAACTCAACTATTCAAACACGATCTCTCGCGCCGCCTCCTCCCTCCTCCTCCTCCTCCTCCAGACCCGACAATATACGCCGACATGGCAAATTTAATCCACTCCCATCTCCTGCAGAGCCCCGACGCCGCACGTAATAAAGCAACGAGGTTTCCATTCCAAGACAAACCGCCATCAATTAGGGATGTCTCGGAGCCGCCCCCTCCACCTCCTCCTCCTCCCTTCCTCCCGCCCTTTCTTTTGGCGAAGCTCCCTCGCCTCCACGCACGCACACGGGAGAGAATTCACGTGGGAGGAACAGGGCGAGGACGACCTTCCTGCCGGAGTGACTTTTACCTGCCGCGCAGAGGACGTCCACGCGGAGGGACCTGGTGAATTGGACCACCTGCACCACACGGTCACTGTTCATGACTGTCCGCTTTATCGAGGGCCACCCCACGTGGTCTAGGCCGACTGCTAATATGGCGGCGACGCTCGACACCGCTTACTTGGACCGCCACGGTGGAAATGGCCAAAAGTCTACAGAGCAACGTTGTCAATTCTCGTGTCATTGGAAGCAGAGGTTTGAAGGCAGGGAAGAAAAAGAAAAAAAATCACGCATTCACAAACCGAAAAGAAAAAAGAAAAAAACAACAGAGCAAGTGGATCCGCGTCCTGCTTAACCGGAGCAGGCTATACCTGGCGATGCGGCGAAGGGGAAGGAATGAGGGGAAGGGAAAAGTGAGGAAAGAAAGTAGGGGAAAGGAAAGAGGGGGGAGGAAAGGAGGGGAGGGAGAGAGGGAGAGAGCAAGAGAGAGAGAGGGAGAGAGCAAGAGAGAGAGCAAGAGAGAGAGAGAGGAGGTCCTTCAGGCGAAAGGGAAGAGGGGAAGGGAGGGTTCACAGACGTTAAGGAGCTCCAACCCAGAACGGAAAAAAAAAAAAAAAACGGAAAAAATCGCGTGAAAGTGAAGTAGACGAATAGACCCACTTCACCAAAAAGGGGCGGGACCTTTGCTGGTCTTCGTGGGTGGCCGGGGCGGGGGAGGGGGGATAGGGGAGAGGAAGACGATGGAAGGAGGGGGGTGGGGGCTGACGGAGAAAGGGGGAGGGGCACTGCGGCAGGAGAACCGGCACATGAAGAGCAGCACACAAAGATTCCCTCACTTGCTTGCGTGAATTCCGGCCTGTCTGTCTGTCTGTCCGTCTCTCTCCCCCCCCCCCGCCCATCCTTCTACTATCCTCCCCTATCCTTCCGGTCATTACCTCCTAACCCACCACCATCTCAACCTCCCCCCCCCCCAATTCCCGTCACCCACAATCACAGCTGATCCCTCCCCCCTCCTCCTCCCCCCCACCCATCATTATTCAAAACGGACGCCCATCTCACCCACCCATTATGATACATTCGCCTTATAATCGCCCTCCTTTGCAACCCGGAATCTCAAAGGCACACGCGAGCCCATCCAACACGGCCGTCTCTTAAATCAGGGTCGCGAAGACGAGAGGCGGGAAGAGATCGAGCAATAACACGGTCCTTGCAATTGCAATGTTCCTGCAAGGAAGAAAAAAAAAAAAGAAGAAAAGCGAGTGCACGGTTATGCGCTTGGAAATTCATGGCGAATGAAAGCCTTAAAAGTTCTTCAAGGATATGCTTGATGATGGCTTAATAAATAAATAAATAAATAAATAAATAAATAAATTCAACAAAAATTAAGTTTCTCATTTATTTATCAATATTTTTCAACTGTCCTTAGCAACTGCCTTTTGCACGTTTTCAGTGAAATCTAAAATCCATTCCTGTAAATTCGATAAAACATTAAAAGCTACTAACTTCAATCAGATTTCGAATTATTTCCACGAATTTCTAATTGAGGGGAAAAATTTATTCAATTTCACATAAATTTAATATATTAACCAGAGAGCGAGATTTGCCTAATAGAGAGAACTAATTCTTAAATACTGATAATGAGAAATCTGTAATATTACAAACAAGTATTTATGTTCATAATATAAAGACTAAATTATAAAAATAAAGGGAAAATAAAGCAGTGTCTACGTGCATTCACAAGACAAAACGGTAGAAAAAAAATTGGATAAAACAGTAAAGAACGTATGTATAGAAATTAAAATGAAAGAAAAGGAAAAAAAATCAAGCCAAGCAGACACGGGCCAAAAATTCCTCCCCCTCCCCCCCCCACTCCCCGCCCCCAGGTCAGGTCGTCTGGCTGTCTCGGTCCATCAGCGACTTTACCTGCGCCCGTGAGCCCTCATTATGATCAATAGCAGGGAGAAATGCAGCGCCCTTCCTTCCCCCTTCCCCCCCCCTCCCCCCCCTGTCTCCGCCCCACCTGCCGCTGTGCACTCGGCTCTGGACTCGGCTTTGCACTCGCCCGCCCACTCCTCCGCTCTCGCGTGGACTCCATTTGCACATTCATGGCTCTGGTGCTCTCTCCCTTTCTCTCTCTTGCTCTTTCATTCTCTCTCTCTCTCTCTCTCTCTCTCTCTCTCTCTCTTCTCTCTCCATCTGTGTTTCGTTTCACCTTTACTCGGGTTCTTCTTTCCCCTTTCTCTCTTTCCGCCTTGCCTCATTACGTTCGTGCTTGCCTCGCCTCCTCTCTCTGTTTATCCAAAATTTGCATCCCTTCTTCCTCTCTTCCTTCCTTCCTACTACCTCCCTACCATGCTTCCTTCCTTCCTTCCGCCTCATTTTGTTTTTCCCTCTCTCCCCCCCTTCCCCCTTTCTCTCTCCCTCCCGGTTTCACTTTCAATTCTCCACTGCTTTATCACCCTCTCCTCTTATCCCTCCACTCTCCCTCCTCTCGCATGCCCCGCCTACCGCGCGAGGCACTTGGCATAATCCACCGAGCTGTCATTACCACCTCCTAATGGCCATCGCAAACTTGCAAGATCCCTAATGCATTAATTACGTTACAACTTGCACTTCCCTCCTGCAGCGTGAGCGGAAGGAGGGAGGGGGGAGAAGAAGTACAGGGGAGGGGAGGGAGAAGAACAGGGGAGGGTTAACTACAGGAGGAGGAGGAGGGAGGCAGGAGTGCAGGGGGAGGGAGAGGGAGAAGAGCAGGGGAGGGGAGGAGAAGGAGGAAGGGAGGAGGGAGAAGGGAGGGAGGGGGAGGGAGAAGTACAGGGGGAGGGAGGGGAGGGAGAATACAGGGGAGGGGAGGGGAGGAGAAGTACAGGGGGAGGGAGAAGGGAGGAGGGGAGGGAGAGGGAGAAAGTACAGGGGAGGGAGAAGTACAGAGGGGAGGGAGGAGGGAGAAGGAGAAGGAGAAGTACAGGGGAGGGGAGGAGAAGAACAGGAGAGGGAGAAGGAGAAGTACAGGGGAGGGAGGGAGATTACAGGGAGAAAAATGAAGTTGTTAGAGAAAAAAGAGAAGGAAGTACAACAGAAGAAGGAAAACACGAACCTAGTCAAAATACAGGGCGCGTTGAGAACTTAAAAAAAAAAAAAAAAATCCCTTTCTGTCCCTGTAAATACTTCACAACTCGGGGAAAGGACAAAATCATAAATGAAAGATCCCAAAATTAATAAAGGAGAGGGCTTCGTTCCCATACGAGCTTCTGCCGCAGCCCCCGTCCCTCATAAATCATGCATGTCCACAACATGTGCCTCGCCAAGCACGTACTCTGCAGCATCAATGCAACCGTGCCATCTACGTCTCCCCCTGGCATACGGACAGCACCAAGCAGACTGGCGGGGGAATAGGGGAGAAAGGAGAAGAGATAAAAGAGATAAAAGAAGACAAGAAACAAAACATTTTTTCTCTCCCTCCCCCTCCCCCGCTGACGACACCCACTCCTTTCCGGAAATATATCCGGAGGCTAAGGGTGTGCATGGGTGGGGGTAGTGGAGGGGAGAGGGAAGGGGTGGAAAGGGTGGGAGAAGGGGGGAAGGGGAAGGGGGAGGGGGTGAGCGAGTGTCGCATGCGCACGAACACACGCACGCACTTGCCATCTAGGACACCAACCAGCTGTGCACATGTCTTCTGCTTGACTTTGAACTTGCTCAAGGTCAGTGTATATAAAAATAGAAAACGAAGGATGCGAGGGAAGTTATTAAGCAAGATGCTGCCAAAAATCAAGTAATGGAAGAAAAAAATAGGTAAAATTCAACTAATGGGACAAGATCTTTATATCAAGGGGAAATATAGACAAATCTTTTATCAAGTGGAAACACCCTCCATCACTTACGCCCGTAAAAAAAAAGCCACAAAACCACCCACCAAGAATCTAAAACAACAAACCCCATCTATCAAATTATTAAAACAAGTAAATAGATGAATAAAGAAAGCT